CATGATACCTCCCCCAAACCTTCCTTTTGCCGCTTTTCTTCGCTCGCGCGCTGCTGTTGCATCACTGCAGATGACAGAAACTTCAATGTTCAAACACCTCCAATTGATCGGACTCTTCACCTTTCCGTTATGCCACTCTTTTTCTCCTGGGAATTGAGTTAACCGAAAACCAATGTCAGAGTGTACCCCTTGTAGTCACAGGGATTCTTTTGAATTGTTTTCGTTTACTTCAGCAGGGGGGCAACGGCCAGTCTTCTTTCGTTGCCCAACGAAGCTACAGAAGACTGGTGGATGCATTCAGGGACGCCTGAATGTGTACCTGCTGAATTTTAACATTTGCCGAGGTTCTTACTTGTACTCTTAGGAAATGGTACCCTAGGCCGGCGTGTGGCACCGCAGTCAGTCAGTACGCATATCCATAAGTGTGTCTCTCCCAGTGAGAGTCCGGGATGAGCCCGTAGAGTGCCTCCCGTGGACCCGTCGAACGGGTGTTAGTCCTCGTCCCTGCGCGCGGGACCAGAGCAGCTCGCTGCAAGCGTAGGTGGCCTAGGCCGAGAGAACTCAGATTTCTGTCTCATCTTTGGAATTCCAAGTTGGCTTATGCCTTTACGTGACCGTAGCGGTCAAAGCTGCCAGCCATCTTGGCACGGCGTACGTGGCCGCACCGGCCGAAGTTTGTTCAAGGTTCATTGGAACCTGTCGCGAGCTTAGTCCCCCCCCTTCCCCTTCCCTCCCCCTTTCTTTCTTTGCTTTTTGGTGGTTTCTTGAATGGAATACTCAGGATATCCCCTTTCTTTCTTTGGTGTGTCCCTGGACGATTGCTCGTAGCTGGGAACATCTGCCTTTTTCTTTTTTCTTCTTTCTCTCCTCTCCCTTTCTTTCTTTCTTTCTTTCCTTCCTTCTTTCTTTCTTTCTTTCTTTCTTTCCTCTCTTCACCTTCCTTCCTCCCTGGATGCTTTTGTCATAGCTGGGAACCCTTCTCCTCTCTTCCTTTGGTGTGTCCTTGGACGCATGCGTCGTAGCTGGGAACACATTCCTTTCCTTTTTCTCGTCTCTCCCTACCCCTCCCCCCTGTCGAGACCTTAGCTTGGGATGCGACTAGGGGCTCCTGGCCTTCCTACTAGGTGCTAGGGTGCTACTTTGACGCTACTAGAGGTTCCTGGCCTTACTACTACTTTGTCCGTACCTTCAATACGCCTCCCCTCGGGGAGGCGTGTGTGTGTACCCCTTGTAGTCACAGGGATTCTTTTGAATTGTTTTCGTTTACTTCAGGAGGGGGGCAACGGCCAGTCTTCTTACGTTGCCCAACGAAGCTACAGAAGACTGGTGGATGCATTCAGGGACGCCTGAATGTGTACCTGCTGAATTTTAACATTTGCCGAGGTTCTTACTTGTACTCTTGGGAAATGGTACCCTAGGCCGGCGTGTGGCACCGCTGTCAGTCAGTACGCATATCCATAAGTGTGTGTGTGTGTGCTTGATTTTTTGGGTGGGAACAAGCTGGTAGCTTTGTTTGACGTAGCAAGGTTGTTTGAACCCCACTAGTTAGTTCCCTACACTTGTTGGAGCACCATCACATGAACCGCTTGGAACGTCATGGCATATGCTGATTAACGGTTTTCCTTCTCCAAGAATGTGTGAAGAGTTTTGATGAAATCTATGTAGGCGAATGGGCATCAATTGGCTGGCTCCCAGTATGCTTGGATCACAAGCCAGGGAAATGTATTCTTGGCAACTAATCAAGAGGTCGTGGAGATGTTTCACGCCCCTCAATAATCAAGATGAGGCAGACCATCAAATAGAATTGATCACAGGTATCATCGTATCTTCCCATAGACTTATAGAATCATAAGGAATCCCAAAGGAGTCTCATAGTATTAGTCAAAGAACCTCGAGTTTAGGCATCTAGATGCTAAAAAAACATAATCCGGAGTAGGTCCCTAGTCCCTGGTGCTTTCGTCTCCTGGTCCTTTTCCTGGTCCGCTGGCCTCGTGGTCAGATTCACATTAGTTGCGATTTTGGCGCGACCTCTGCAAAACAAAAAGTTTACCCGGTTGCCTTAGTCCTTGTATCACTTTCTGCCATTCATTGATGCGGCAATGGCAATGGGGTGTGTAGTTTTCGATGCTGATTTATATATTTTGTGGTGCCTTCTGAGTCTGGTGGCTTTTGATTTTGCTTCGCTCTGGGGGGAGGCACTGCGCCCTCCCTCCCAACCCCTCTCGAGCGCCACAAAATCCGCACTACTTTATGCCATTGCACTGCGCCTGCCACGACCTGACCCATCGCATCTCCACACCAAATATCGCATGCCCTCGCCTAAGTTCTTTTGATCCTGTGTTGCAAACATCCCTTCATTGATTGTCCTTTGGTGGTTGATATGGCCCACCTTTGCGGTGTCCAACATTTCTATCGTTTGGTTATCTTGTATTTTGTTAAAATTTGCTTTGCGGGAGGACTGCCTGATCCTTTTGTCGCCCTCCCTGCTGCAGTTTTGCCCCTGCCAACCTAAATTATTTTGAGGTGACCGTCTCGTCTCCAACTATTTTTTTAAAAATAATATCCATAAAGTATTATTTGGAAAGGCATGTAGGTGGTGGGTCAAAATAATATCTACCATGTAGAAAAAATATGGTATGGCATGTTGCAAAATAACAAAATACTATTTTGATATATTGTTTCCAAATAATTTTTAGCACTGAATGACATAGAATAATAATAACCCGTGGAAGAAGGTATGATGCAGGGTTTATTGGAAATTATTTGGCAGGTGGAGGGGTACGTGTGCCAGAGCAAAAATAATTTGATGTGCTTGTCCACAGAGCTGAGACAATCAAGATATAAAATATAAACCACACAGCATGATAAGATAGGGGGAAGAAGTGGTATAGACCACCCACCTAAGTGGGCAGATATATGGGGACAGCTCCTAGGAAAGTGTTCAGTAACAGCAAACGTAGGTGGTGCAAGCGCAACCACCTACAAAAAAAAATCGCGCCCTCTTTTCTGCCATTCTCTCTCGGTTTCTCTGTCAGACCGTGAACGTCTGACTCCCACATCAATCAGCTATGCTCTGCCACCAAGTCATCGTTTGTCGCGCTGCAATCAGTTTGAACTAGCCAAGGCACACCTGATCCAAAACTCTGGTAGCCAAAGCAGCCGGCTTCACACTCTCATCAAATTCTCGCTGGGATCCATCCTATCAGGGGGCTACCTTTATCTGGGATCCATCCATTCGAGCACAAACATAATATTATTTGGCAGGTGGGCTACAGTACCTGTCATCTACCCCCAAAATAAATAGTTACTTTAATATTATTAATGATGTCTGTGGGGTAAGCCTTGCCCCCCCTTACTGGTTCCTTCTACTAAACTCCTGAATGTTTTCAACCTTTTCCATATTTTCCATGGAATAAGTGGCAAATACTGGCAACATTCCCCCCACCTTATTTATTATTTAACAGGTCGTTTAGGGGGTACCCCACCCCTGAAATATTTTTATGGACCATATCACGCTATCCACATATTCCAGTCAATCAGTCGATCTACTAATTATTTCAGAGGTCCCTTAGGCCAGCCCCACCCCTGAAATACGGCGATTGTTTGACCTGCCTTGGACAGAGATCTTGCTTGTCCTCAATATGTTCCATATATTCTCCCGGATCGGCTGCCCCATCAAGGCAAAAAGACTGGACTGACGTTCACGGTACCACAGAGAAACCGAGAGAGAATGGCAGAAAAGAGGGCGTGATTATTATTTTGTAGGTGGTTGCGCTTGAACCACCTACGTTTGCTGTTACTGAACACTTTCCTAGGAGCTGTCCCCATATATCTGCCCACTTAGGTGGGTGGTCTATACCACCTCCCCCCCTATCTTATCATGCTGTGTGGTTTATTATTTCTGACCTAAGTTACCTCCATATAATTCTGTGCTCAGGTGGGTACACCCACCTAAGAATAATAAATATATTACTTTGAGGTGGGTGGGAGGGAGGGTGGGCAGCTGGCAGGGGCTATGCTGCAGTTGTCCTTGATCTAGTTGTCCTCCCTTTTTTCTTTTTGATCCGAACAATTCTTATTTGTTTGATCCTTCTGGTACGCCGTGACGGACGCACCCCCGCATGGTTTTGAATGTGTTTCTTCATTTCCAGGGATTCCAGGGTATCAAACGAGCTGGGCGACAGGGCCGGGGTCGAGGACACGGTTCAAAATTAATCCGGAGACTTGCGAGTACTCAGCCAGTTGGGGGGCCCCCAAGTAAAATCTGCAATTCGCAAATTAACCGAACCTACCCGGACCTACCCTCGATTAATTTCACCAGAAACAATCAGGGGTACCGTCAAGTAATCTCATCATGTTTAGTCACTGGGTAATACCTTCTGTTGTGAGATCAAGAGTCAGACACCTGCCTGCCACTTTACGACGTCCTGAGAGTTGGAAAATTAGAAACTTTGTCCACAGCCAGAGAAGGTTGAGCAGTTCATCACAGCCCGTCTACTGGGTCGGAGGACTCAAAGGGAAAAATGTTTGCAAAGTTCGACATTAGATTGTTCTATACGGCTGGGGACCACGTGACTTGCCTTCCTTGGCTCTTTGCCCATAGCATTGGAGCTCAGTGCTCTTATGTATGACATTGTATGACATGTCCAAGTCAAAACAAATGAAAGATTCAGTCATCAATCGTCAATCATCTTTGGATTCTTCCTCGGAGAGATCACTGCAATCTGAGGACAAACAAAACAAGGATTGGCAGCCTGGTCTATTCACACCTTCTGACTGCTTTGGTAATTGCCTGCCTTGAAGGCACATTCAAGCTTCATGGAGCACCCTTTGGAATTCCTTGGTCCGGGTGATGAACCCATAGTGGCGCCCAAAGAAGACTAGCATTATTCAATGGCCTTTCAAGGCCCTGAACTGTAAGAAGCACTGCACAATTTTGAGTCCTCATGGCGTAGAGATCAACCTCAGGCGGGTGTTGCCAGGTGTCACCTTGATTTGCCAGGTAGTCTCCCTCCTGAACAGTGACACGTGTAATGCAATGTAATGCAGCATGTGTGAACTTGTTGTGCGAGCGAAAACACGTTGTCATGACATGTCAGACATTACTCCCGTTTGCTGCATTGATTAGAAATTTGTGAACCCTCCACATTGGAGTCTGAATTCTCACTGCTGTGGCTCAGCTTTTCGTAGTCCGCTCAATATGTTGTCCACCCGTCGGCTCATGTGGGCTTTGTATTTAGTCATCTCTGTAGCAGCGGCTCCTTGGACTAACTTCAACGGCACACATGCTGGATTTTGGCGAGTGTGTCTCAAATCCTGTGGAAGGCAAGTGGAACGCGATGGAGTTGGAATCCTCGGATTCTAAAGTTCAAAAAGGCAAATTTGTTGGCAAGTAATTACAGCATGCTGAGCACTCTCAGCAGAGGTCACCGTATGCGCAAAGCTGCACGAAGAGGTAAAAGTAGGTTTCCGGCTTAATTCTGGGATACTCTCCCTCCAATCATTGCAGGGGTGTATTCAGTGTATTCTTCTGATCAGCCGCAAAGCAAGGCATTGGAGAGTTACAGAATAATTTTCTCACCATGTTGGCGCATGAGGTTCGGCTGGACACCGGCAAACAAGTGGATGTCAACGGCGACAGTAGCTTGCTCCAATAGCCCGTTTTCGGTTCTCTTCCCAGTGCACGACGATTGAATGTGTTTTCAAGATTTTGACTAGCAGCGCTCGTGCTGCCCAGCATGTGCAACACCTGGAAATTGCAGGACTAGCTCAGCTGGAAGTTGAAGCTGACCTGGAGTCCTTGAGGTTTGTCTAAGGAAAGTTGTTCAATGGAAAAGGTCTGTATGGTGCCACAGCTTTCCAGTATCGTATTCCATATCCAAGCAGCGGGAGTGTGACAAACCAAGGCCTACTCATAAAGGCAGTGCATGAAAGCGAGAGGAAGCTGCCATCCCTGCCAGCAGAGTGGAGAAGCTTGTCAGGGTTGAATAGAAGTCCCAGTTTGTTTTGAAGCAGTGTTTGCAGGTGCCACACAAGGAACATAAAGGTTAACAAGCAAATAAGCAAGCAAGTCAACTGAAATCATAGAAGTGTATTTGCAACAGTTTGCTCTTTGTCTTGGTGCATCAGGAGATCGCTTCGAGATTGAGAAGGAACTGGCTGAAGGTGGAGATGGAGTTGTCTACAAGTTGCACGTCCTTTGCTCCCTGGCAAAGAGGTGGACTTGGCTTTTGCCGGACTGTGTTTGGGTAAGTGGGTAAGCCAGGATCTTGAGGTGTCTTCATTTATCGCGACTACTACTGCTACTTCTACTACTACTCTTACTAGTACCCACCTTGTTACTGCTCTTGCTATTCTTAGTACTCTTACTGCTTTTACTACTTTCATCACTCTTACTACTCTTACTCATTGTTACTGACTGACTGACTGACTGACTGACTGACTGACTGACTGACTGACTACCTGCTGCTTGTGCTGCTGCTGCTGCTGCTCCTACTACTACTACTACTACTACTACTACTACTACTACTACTACTACTACTACTACAGTACCACCACTAGTACTAGTACTAGTAGTAGTAGTAGCAGCAGAAGTAAAAAGTACGACTACTAGCCTACTCCTATTCGTACTCCTATTCCAGCTGTTCCTGCTACTGCTCCTGCTCTTGCTACCCCCACTACTACTACCATGTTGGGTGGGCGTGCGCTACAGATCATGTTCTTGCCTGTTGAACATGTTTCTTTGAGCACTTGCAAGGTGGCAGTGGCGATTCATTTGTTTCAGAGACTTGGCCCAACATGTCCCAAACATATTCACGAAAGGCTAGAGTCTAGAGAACTTTGCTGGACAGTATACATGATTGTTTCCTGCAGGCCAACTCACTTGTTTCCTTTTTAGTCAATCGAGAGTAATTTACTTCCTGGAGGATTGTATTCCTGGAGGTGACAGACGGACAAAAGAAGCTGTTACGGTACTGCTATTCTCATACCATCACTGCTACATACTTTCGCTAGGAGCATTTTTACCGCCCACAAATACGCACAGGTTTCTGCGCGTGTGACATGAACACTGCATGACAATGAGGACATGGAGGGTGAGGCAAACATAAATTGGTCGGTATAGTCTAGTTGCTAGTTGCTATTGTAAAAGTTGTTATTTAATGTCGCTGTGCCGAGAGTTTTCTTCTTCGTTCAGTTGCCATGCGTGGCCTCAGATTTTGTGGGCACGCTGAGTTTGTCGCACGTGTTCCTGTTGCGAGTTGGCAAGTTTGCGGACATCGGAGAACTTACCGTCAGTCTTAAAGAGTTGACTTTGGTGGGTATGTTCTTAGTGGGTAATTTTAGAACTGTTTGTGCAGGTGTGTTCCGGGGACCAATTGCCTGTGACACTTGCAAGCACAAACCAGTTCATGAGGTGACGCCCTTCAGACCAGACCCTTGAGCACACATGCTCAAAAGAGGTGTTTTCAGCAGGAGGACATACCAAGATGAACTAACGCATGAAACCATAGGGGCATCGTTTTTGGGGCGCCCCGTATCGTTTTCCATCCAAAATTTGAAATTGCACTCTTGGATGAAACGCCCTTGCATAAAGTACACGACGATCAGGTTGAACACGATTCACATACGGCAAAAACATCCCGGCGGAATCATTACCGCCCCAGGATTGTGTTCTTTTCGAGTTTTGCTGCAAGACAAGGATTCTCAGATCGAAGTCTGAAGGCAAACAAGAAGCATTTTTGGTGCAACCCTTACAGCATTTGCTGGTCAAAAGGTACTCCCTTTGGCACGTTCGCTTTGCATGGTTTTAGCACATTTTAGATTTTTTAAAACGTGTTTTGCTCGAGTACCAGGGGTGAATGCAAGTACCACCGTGTCTGAAGTTCGGTGTCAACCACCAAAAGCACAGCACTGAGGTGGTTCATGGCAACAGCTTCTGGAGTCCAATGTGCATGCTTTGAGTGACAATGTTCGGGAAGATTTTCAATATTGTTCATATATCGTTCTATATCTACGCCGATACCAGAGAACCGGAATGATCCCAACAAGAACTTGCATCTCACCAAATGCTTTGCTTTCTTTATCGCATCTGTCATTGGGATTGCAAACTTCTCAGACTGAACTTTGGCCATGGCATTCTGCACTCTAACGCTGAAGTGATCCCGAATATGGGTCACTGTGACACAACAAACAAAGTAGCTACCACATGCGTGGAACATGTTGCACTACAGGCCAACAAACGATTCTGGTGTCCTTACGAACGTGTCTCCCTGAAAGTTTTTCATATCTTTAGGTGTTCTGTTGTCAGGTGCAAAGGTTCTCTGCAGATGTTGATTCATTTTGATGTGGTTTCCGTAGTCCTTGTGGAGTCTAAGGCAAAGCTTGTAACAGCAAAGAAAGGAGTTGCAAAAGCAGCTGAGAGGATGGGCCTCGGGGCGAAAACTAGTCAGCTACAGGGCGCGTCATCCAGCGGATTGAAATTAAGCAGGTTTTGTCCTGAACCCTCTTCGAGGGTTTTCTGGGTACTTGTGCGCGCTCGTTCTCCAATTTAGATCAATTAAGTACCCTGTAGGGCTGCCCGTTATCTTGCAGATCAATAGACGCAGTTGCCAAAGCATTTTTACTCATCCTGTTGACGCTGGCTACAAGAAGCCTCAGCCAATCCGTGAAGGGTGTGGGTAATCGGAGGGTGCACAAGTACGATCCCCGTCACAGACATGTGTTTGAAGAGCTACTTTTTTTTTATGTAGAGAGAGATGAGAGATTTGCTATGAGATTGGAGGCCATCGCTAATTATTGGGTTGGAGGTTATGTATATATATATGGCGCCCCTCAAAATGTCTACCTCTTTTGGTTTTGATTGGTATGCGCGGTGTTTTTTGCACATTGTGAAAGCGGGTGCCACATATATACATATATATATATATATCGTACCCCCCTCCCCAAAACCAACCCTTTCATAAAATTTATTGGTATTTACGACGCTTTACGCATGTGTTTGGGTATAAAAATCTAACAAAAAACAAGCCACTTCCCAATTCAAAAACAAATGAAAGGAAACGCCCCCAAAAAAAGGAACAAATATCACCAGTGACAAAAAGCGGCAAAATAACAGAACCAAACAAACCAAAAAAACAGAACGAACGAAACTTTGAGGAGAATGTTTGGTTCAGTTTCAAAAAATGATTGTTTTTTGGTGTTCATTGCGATGTTTTGGTTTGGGGTTTTGCCATCCAAAAACCAAACTATATTGTGTTTTTTGTTTTTGAAGGTTTATTGTATTAGAATACCACCAAAAGCTTAAAAAAACACAATGTTTTTTGGCTTTTTGATGTCAAAGCAAAAAACACAATGAAAGCAAAAAACATTTTTTGAGGCTGAACCAAACATTATCCTCGAAGTTGTTTTAAAGTCTGTTTGTTTTGTTTGCGCTTTTGTCCTTTGGGCTTTTGCATAACCTGATCTGAAGCCTCTCTTCTTAAGCACCTTCTTTTGTTCTTGTCTTGCGCGAGCTATGCCTCTCATTCCTGGGGGTGTGATTTTAAGAAAACAACCTTTTAGACAGCAACACATAGATTGTATACAAAGCGTTCATTTTAAGGGCAAGACACACTCTCTAGAAGCAAATTAGAATTGCGTAACAGCCAAAATTAGATTAGACAACGAATAGAATTATGTTAGGTCTAAACATAAACTGCATAGAAATTGAATTGAAAAGAAGTCAGCGCTAAATAGAAACCAGTTAGCGTTGATTTCCGATTAAAATAGAATAAACATAGAAGTTACTCAACATTAAAATTGAATTGAATGATAATTGAAATAGATGTTCTTTTAATTTCAGTAGAGGTAAATGAATTTGAATCGAAGTTAAATTAGGATCAAGCAAAGTTAAACTTGAAATCAAAATAGAATTAAACTAGAACTGTAAAACAACTGAAATTGAATGGTACAAGATGTAGACTAACTGAAACTAAAAGGTAATTACAAATAGATTAAAATATAAGCAAGACTAAGATTGAATGAACACCCGACTAAATTAGAACAATAACTTCGAGACAACTAAAAAACACATTAGACTTAAATTGGGTTTGAATTGAAACTAACCTAAGATTTGTTCAAAGTTTTACTGTTTCAGTTAGAATTGGGTTAGAATTAAGATAGAGCTGAAATAGAAGTGCTTAACCTGCAGCTTGATTACTATTCACTTACTGCAATAATGAATGAGAATTAGACTTGAATGGAAATTAAAGCCAAAATGACATTTACAATAGAACTAAATTAGAATTGAACTCAACTTCAATTAGAGTTGAATAAAATCAAACTTGGATATTGAAACTAAACTTAAATTAGAAACCAAGTAGATTTAAGCTTGATTTTCAATCAGGTTCAAATTCGACTTGAAGAATTCTTACTTTGGAATTGAGCTAGACTTAAAAAAAAATAAATTAGAGTTCAGTAGAATTAAATGATACTAAAAGGTCTCTATATTTATGAAATCAGTCCAATTTTGGTTCAAAAAATTACTTTACTTCGAGTGATCCCCACCATGACATTTCAATCATTTGTCTTGATGCCATAGTGAGGAGCATGTTGCCATAGTCGTTAGTATTGTAGTTCTCGATGTTGCTTGTGGGTCCTCGGGTTGTGTGCTGTGGTTGTGTGTTGTGGTTGTGGTTGTGTCTGTGGTTGTGTGTTTGTGGTTGTGTTTGTGGTTGTGTGTTTGTGGTTGTGGTAGTGGTTGTGATTGTGTGTTTGTAGTTGTGGTTGTGGTCGCGGTTGTGTCTTTGTGATTGTGTGTTTGTAGTTGTGGTTGTGGTTGTGTCTTTGTGATTGTGTGTTTGTAGTTGTGTTTGCGGTTGTGTGTTTGTGGATGTGTTTGTCGATGTGTGTGTGGTAGTGGTAGTGGTTGTGATTATGTGTTTGTAGTTGTGGTTGTGGTTGTGTCTTTGTGATTATGTGTTTGTAGTTGTGGTTGTGGTTGTGGTTGTGTCTTTGTGATTGTGTGTTTGTACTTGTGGTTGTGGTTGTGTGTTTGTGGTTGTGTGTTTGTGTGTTTGTGGTTGTGTGTTTGTGTGTGTTTGTGGTTGTGTGTTGTGTGTCTGTTTGTGGTTGTGTGTTTGTGATTGTGTCTTTGTGGTTGTGTTTGTAGTTGTGTGTTTGTGATTGTGTTTGTAGTTGCGTGTTTGTGATTGTAATTGTGTTTGTGTTTGTGATTGTGTGTTTGTGGTTGTGTGTTTGTGGTTTTCTGTTTGTGGTTATGTGTTTGTGATTGTGTCTTTGTAGTTGTGTTTGTATATAGTTGTGTGTTTGTGATTGTGTTTGTGGTTGTGTGTTTGTGGTTGCGCGTTTGTGGTCGTGTGTTTGTGATTGTGTGTTTGTGGATTTTATCTGGCAAACTATCTGGTTGAGGTCCAGCGGTGCACACTGCGATCGGATCCTTGCGGTTGAG